ACTCATTGTATGACATCTTTTGTTTTTGTTTCAGGAAATGCTGCTATGATGCTCCAGAGAATAAATTTTCACTTGCATATTGTCCTTTGAAGACTATGCTGATGTTTTAGAAATTTAAAACATGTACCTATTTGTTTTGTGTAATTTTATTAATTAAGTTCTTTTAAATTGGAATTGTTGTATGAGTATTTATTTGTAGTTATATATATATGTTTATGCTACATTATAAGTGAAAAAAATGCAAAAAAAATGCAAAAAAAAAAATAAAAAATAAAAATAAAAAAAAATTGTTTTTTAAGGGCATTATTGCCACCGGTTAACCGATGGCAATACTTTCTAATACTAAAAAAATTCGGGAAGGATTATTGCCACCGGTTAACCGGTGGCAATACTTGTTTTTGCCATCGGTTTTGAACTGGTGGCTTTTTCATCAGACTATTGCCACCCCCAAATGGCCACCGGTTCCAAACCGGTGGCATAGGGGGGTTTTGAACCGGTGGCCATTTGTGAATGAATTATATAAAAATTCAAAAATATGTTCCAATGAATTATAAATCATGCTTCCATGTGTCCCATACTTGGAAAATATTGTTTTGATTCTTGGTATATGATAATGAGCTTTGTGAGTTTGTTGATTATGATTTGAAGTTTAATTGTTTGGATTCCTAAACATGCGTTAATTTTGCCCAACTATTTGTGAATATAGTGCTTGACTAGTTGATTTGGTTAGGAATGTATGATAGTTCCTGGTATGTCAAGGAATTTGAGTATTGGTTTGCAACTATTAGCAATGTTTGTATGGCTCAATATTATGCACATTAAGGAGGACGAAGGCATTTGTTCTCTTAGGTAGCCTTCAGACGATATTAGATACATTTGTTCCCTTCTTGTTACCCATGTTGTTGCTTGTGCCATTTTATTGTTTATTTAGCCACATTACAAGCCTATATAAGCCCCATTGGTTACAAGTCCCAAGCTTGGCTTGGGGGAGCTATTAGTTGGTGAGGTGAGGGAGTTGTGGTGTGCATATCATTTGCACAATGTGGGAATAAAAGAAGAGTGATTGTTCTTTGATATTATGATTGGAAAATATTGATGTTTTGTGTTTTAAAGTTGAAAATTTCCAATATGAGGTAAAAAGAAAAAAAAAGAGCAAAGAGAAAAGAAATTGTTTCAAATGTTCAAATGTTCTATTTGAAGGTTGCTAAAAAAAAAGTAAAAAAAGAAGTTCAAGTTTGAAAAGAAAAAGAAAGAAAAAAAAAGAATAAGTAGTTCAAAGTTTGTTTTAATTCACTCTATTTCCTATTATCATACTTTGTGAGTGAATATGTAAGTGTTGGGATTGTGTTGTGTATATGATTGTTTGGTGAATTTTTGTGGAGTTAAGTTGTGATTGGAGATGTTTTGGTCATCAATTGTTTTGACCTTGGGTTTTATTAGGATATGGCTCCCTTAAGCATGGCTTTACTCTCACATTTTCCTAAATTTATCCTACCCTTTACCCTAGCCATACATTACAAGCTTTAAAGACCTTCCGACCTTTGTGCATAAGAGTTGTATGAATGTGAAATTGTTGTTTATCAATGCAAGTTATGATTTGACATATTTCGAGTCGACTAGTAGGTTGAGCGAACATTGTTTTAAACACACGAGAGTGTGAGTTGGGAGGGCATTTTTCACATATAAAGGGGTTAGTTGGAGAGCGATCGAGTACATCTTTTACTCGCCACATAAATGAGAGTTGAGTGTGTGAGCACTAGTCTTGAATTCTATATGATCATGTGGTTTACTCTAATTGACAATTGTTGGGGAGGAAGGATGATTAGATGAATAAGATTGATTGACATTGAAGCATGTTCATTAGATTTGCCTTGAATCGTGTGTGCTTGATTTTGTTTACTTGGGATGAAGCATGTTTTATATGTTCATTGATGAGCTCTTTGCTTAGGGACAAGCAAAGGTTTGGCTTGGGGGAGTTTGATATGTCCAATTGATATAGTGTTTTACCCCCGTCCCATGGTCATAATTAGTGGTGTTTTTGGCTCTTTAGGGCCACTTTTATTACTAATTAGTGTTTTCTAGTGTTTTTGTAGTTTTGCATGAGTTTTGTAGGAAATTTCACATTTGGAGCGTTTTTCGGGTTTTTCATGAAGCAACTACGAGCATTAGGAGGACACGACTGTCTTTGAAGCCCAAGAACTGTTACAGCCGGCGATTAAGGACTCGTTATGTGATACCGGGGCAATTGAATCGAGTATTCAAACCCGAAGAGGAAATCCGGATTGGGCCAAAGAATCGAGCCCAATCGAAGTCCAAGCCTCGAAGAAGAAGCCGCGCCCGATCGGGAAAGCTTTCGCCCAATCGAGCGGGCTCGCACAAGAGGCATCAGCAAGAAGGCGCGCGCGATCGGGTGAGCATAAGCTCGATCGGGCGCGGCGCAGCAGGAAGAGCGAGGGAAAAAAGGAGGGCCCGATCGGGCCGCACTTCGCCTGATCGGGCGCTTGTTTTTAGAAGACCTGATTGTCGAGATTTTTAGTTTTCAATTAGGATTTGTTTTAGGGATGTTTAAGTACGATTTTTGGACGTAATTTTTTATTACCTTCTCTTTTAGATTTTCTCTCTCTACTTAGAATATTTTCTCTCTCAAAAATTCTCTCAACTATTGTTCTTAACTCCATTCCTTAATCCAGATTTCTTTTGGTAACAATTTCTTCTCTTTTAATTTTAGTTATTTTATTTAATTCTTTCATCATGTCTTGCTTTATTGTTTTGATTAGTTTAAATTTAATTATGTTTGAGTAGTTTTATTTCTAGGGTTTATGGGGATCTAATAAATAATATGAATGGGTAATTTGTGATTGTTGATTATCAATGCTTGATTAATTTCCTATTGATTGATTTAATGCTATGCAAGTAGGTTTGGCCAGATTTAATTGTATGAGTTTAGCAATATTAATTCAAGATTCGACAAATGAGAATTGATGTTTAGGCTTAGTTTTAATAGGCAGACTAATTTATAAATGGTTAAGTCGAGATTCGAGTGATGAGAGTTAATACTGGTAAATTAACTCTGTGATTATAATACGTAGCGGAAGCCCTTTATAATCTGACTTATTGATGCTTGATGATTGCTTATTATGATTTGCCCTGGAATATTGTTTATTAGTGAACCTATGCCCTAGGTTTTCCCTTCGTTGATTTATATCCCTTTTTATTCCCTTGTTACTTTTACCTTTAGTAGTTTAATTACTCTTTACAACAAATTTGGTTACTTGATAATCTAGATTATTTCTAATTAATTAGGAGTAAATTGATATGTTTCCCTGTGGTTCGACCCTTCTTCCCTATGTACATAGTTAGTGGATTTAGGTTTTATTTTTTATTAGGTGAATACGACTTGAGCCTGTCAAATCCTTAGTTAACAAAACTTCAACAAACTATTTGTTTCTGATTCTGGCAGACCTATATGGCGTAGGAGCACCAATAGAAATGTTCTGTTCAACTCTTTGAAGATTTTCGCAAGAATCAGATTCAAGTGGGACGATGGGAGTCTCGCTAGTCGAATTAGCTTGCTGCAACGCATGATTATGCGCCATCGCCTCTGATGTGGTGTTATCCCCATCCATTTGTTTCTCGTCTCGAATTTCTTCAAGCACTACTTTACTCCCACTTGTCTTTCGAGAGAGGAATTTCTTTTCTAGAAAGACATCATCACAAGTAACAAACACTTTGTTACCATCGCAATTGTAGAAGTAATACCCCTTTGTTTCTTTAGGATAACCCACAAAGAAACAATTCCCTGATTTAGGGTCAAGTTTGTCGCTTTGTAAACGTTTTACATAGACCTCACAACCCCTAACCTTGAGATAAGACAACTTTGGAACTCTTCCAGTCCGTAACTCATATGGTGTCTTCTCAACTATTTTGGACGGGCTTCTGTTTAGTATGTTTGTAGCTGCTTCTAGTGCATATCCCAAGAATGATATGTGAAGATCAATAAATCTCATCATGGATCGAAGCGAACCATATCTAGTAAGGTCCTATTCCTCCTTTCTGACACACCATTTAGTTGTGGTGTACCTGGAAGGGTTAATTGTAAAAGTATTCCACAATTAATCAGATGTTCATCAAACTCTTAAGTCAAATATTCGCCACCATGATCAGATTGAAGTGCTTTAATTGTCCTCCCAAGTTGGTTTTGTACTTCATTCTGGAATTCCTTGAACTTTTCAATGGATTCCAACTTGTATTTCATTAAATAGATATAACCATATCTACTTAAATCATCAGTAAAGGTAATGAAATAGCTATAACCACCTCTAGCTTTTGAACTCATTGGTTCACATACATCTGTATGTATGAGGCCCAAAAGGTCACTAGCTCTTTCACCTTTTCTAGTAAAAGGCAATTTGGTCATTTTACCTAACAAGCATGACTCACAATTCTCAAATGATTCATAATCAAATGAAGTTAGGAGTCCATCCTTATGTAATTTCTAGATGCACGATTGATTTATATGACCTAACCTAAAATGCCATAAATAGGTTTGGTTTGATTCATCTGTTTTACGCTTTCACTAGTGGAAAAAAGGGCATTTATAACGGGCAAAAACTACCCATCTGTAACAGGCAGCGGCCGTTACGTATGCAGCTGTTACGGATGGTCTTTCTTATTCATAACGGGCACCATCCGTTATGAATAACCTATTATTCGTAACGGGCAGCTGAAAAACCCGTTACGAATAACCCATTATTCGTAACAGACATTTATGTTGCCCGTTACGAATAACCCATTATTCGTAACAGACATTTATGTTGCCCGTTACGAGTAATGGATTATTTGTAACGGGCTTTTTAGCTGCCCGTTACGAATAACCCCATCATTCGTAACAGGCTTTTCAGCTACCCGTTACGAATAACCCCATTTTTCTGATCAATGTTGTAAACATGAGTTGTATAATCTAAGACATACAAACCATTAATCAATTTGGTGTTAGCATATGAAATATTTCCTTTAGATATAAAACAACACTTGTCTCTTATTTCAAAAGACGAACCTTCAGTATCTAAATCATGAACTGAAATAATGTTCTTGGTAATTGTTGGGACATAATAACAGTTATTAAGTACCAAAATAAGACCAGATGGAAGTCTCAAATTATAGCTTCCAATAGCAAGTGCGACAACTTTTGCTCCATTTCCTACTCTAAGTGCGACTTCCCCTTTTGCTAATTTCTTACTCCTTTCTAGGCCCTGCATGTTATTACCAATGTGAGCACCACAACCGGTATCGAACACCCAAGTTGAAGAAGTAAGATTAATTTCTACAACAAAAACATTAGGTAAATCTTTACCTTCCGTTTTCAGTGGTGTGTAATGGGGACACCCATGTATGTGGCAAGACCACCTACTGCAATAGAAGCACTGGCTTCCTTCCCTCTTCAAGTACTCCTCTGAATGGTTGACCAAAAGGTTGACTAATGTCACTGTCGAGCCTTCATCATCATGAATAAGCTTGACTAGAACAAATCCATCATGGAGCGGGAACAAGATAGTGTCACTACTACAAAAATTGTCTAAGAGAGGCGTTCAAATATGCCTAAGAGACCACTTTTGAACAGGTCTCTATCTCAGAGGTCTGTTTGATAACTAGACCCCATAATGAGGTGCGGTCTCTTTGAAAGACAAACAGACCCGTTGATAAAGATATGTGGTTTGTTATGTGAGGGTACAAGTTGTCATATACTGAGGGAAACAGACCTGTTATTTGAAATATTAGGTATCTTTAGTTGAAACTAACAGACCTGCTATGTTTTATGATGGGTTTCTTTGATTCTTTTTCTTTTGAAAAAAAAACAAATTTTTTTTTCATATTTTAATTTTGAAATATGAAATTTGAAAATGTATTCTTTATTCCAATGGCAGAAAAATGGTAAATTACAGACTAGAAAAGTACTCCGTACTTTATAACAAAACTGATATGGATTAATGGAGTATTATACAAAAAAAAAACACTAAAACACACGAAGTATAAACATAATTGAAATTTACACTTATAATTACTATTCATAATATTCGTTAATATAGCTTGAGTACTCCATATTCGCTCTGCCCTCAATTGAGTACTGTTAAAAATAGATTTGGCATTATAAAAACAAAGAATTAATTTAGATAAACACACAATCTCGTAAAAAAAACAATGTATAGAATTGAACGAAATACATAATTAAAACAAAAATTAATTAAGAAATGCACATTACTAAAGAGAAAAATAGGAAATCCATCAATTGAATAAGATCTAGCTAAAACAAATTAGCGTGTTGAGTATTTTGGAGCCTTCAAAGCTATTCTCTAATTGAGTATTGTCAAACCATTAAATTGTTGTCAAACCCATCAAATCTGCATTTAATGAAATACAACCATAAAACTTCATAACTACAAGAACTAACACTTCTAATACAGAAAATTAAATGGAAAATTAACCCATATAAACAAATTAAAAAGAAAATAAAGATAAAATTAAACTTACCCCTCGACAATTTTTTGGTGAGCACATTGGATTGCTTGAAAGCCATTAAAACTAGCAGATCTATATGTAAAGATATATGAAGATAGGTTGTTCAAGCTTGTTTAATTCACACTCTGCCATCATATATTTATACAAAGAGTAGGCCATTAATCAATACCTAAAACCTACGGCAAGTATATGGAAGGGATAGAAATATGCCTAACTAAGATAATAACAAATATACCAAGTATATATTCTAACAATATTCCCATAATTATCCTAACACTATAGCAGAAATAATTTGGAGTACAAAAGGAAATAAAACACTCATGAATAATGAAAATAAAAGCCGAAAAAACAATTAGAATAGAAAAGCCCCAAATTGTACATTGCAATAAATCAGTATCCACTTCAATACTATGAATTTTAAACTATTGTAAACCAATCAATAATCAAATTAATAAATACTAGTTTTGTGCCCCGTGCGATGCCCGGGTTGTTTATGAAATCGATTTAAATCTATACAATGCGGCGCGAAACTCAAATTTTATTTTATTGAAAGTAAAACAGTAAATTAACAATTTTATCCTAAAATTCTATCCAAATTTGATTCATAATAGGATTCTAAACTAACTTTTTTATCTTATGAAGTGTATTTAAATCTATCCAACGTGGTGCGACACTTGGCGAAAAGTAATGCCAAGTGTCGCTGCTTCGTGACCTGGCTAAAAGTTTAGCTTTATATATTAGTTATATGATAAGAAGAATAAAAGGATCCCAGATTTAATTAACTAAACCGTAGAAACCAAGAACTCATATTGATTTACCTCCATGGGCTACAGCAGTAAGGAGCCGCGAGTGAGAACCCAACACAAACCACTCAATCACTTAGCGAGGATAGTGACAGTCAATAAAGGCGGACATCATCTTAAACCACCATTCTACTAGCGAAAAACCGTAGATCTAGAGGTCATACTTCAGAGGGGGGAAAGAAAATAAATCTAGAGAAGATTAAAAGAGGGTCTTTCTTGCATTTAGCCTCAATAATTTAGAGTGAGAAAATTGAGAAGAGACAGAATGAAGACAAGATAAGGAAGAGACTAGAAGAATATGAAAAGAATATTAGAGTGGGGGTAGGAATGGCAGCAGATCGGATTCGGGTCGGATGTGGCTAAATCCGAATCTGATCCGTTTAGTAACTAAACGGACCTTGGGCCGGATCCGAATCCGAGTCTGAATTTAAAAAATCCGAGTCCGAATCCGATCCGACTCGTAATTTTTGGATCCAAATCCGGTCCGCTTATATGGACTTCCGAAATGATCTCAATATTATTTTTATTTTTATTTTTTGTAATGTCGTATACCTATAATTGCTTGTATTGTCATACCAATTAAAGTATAAACATAACATATTTAAATTATAAACTAAGTTACAAAACAAAATTATGCTACAAAACAAGCAAATAATTGTCCAAAGATATAGAGCATATGCTTATACTCTCGGATTCGGACTCGGATCGGACTCCGTCGGACTTTGCGTAGGGTCCAAGTCTGATCCACCTCCTATTCGGATTCGGATCTAATTTATCGGATTCGAACTCAGACTAATTTTAAACGGATTCGAATCGAACTCGGATTACCAATCAATAATCAAATTAATAAATATAAGAAGAATAAAAGGATCCCAGATTTAATTAACTAAACCGAAGAAACCAAGAACTCATATTGGCTTACCTCCACGGGCTACGGCAGTAAGGAGCCACGAGTGAGAACCCAGCACAAACCACTCAATCACTTAGCGAGGATAGTGACAGTTAGTAGAGTCGGACATCATCTGAAACCACCATTCTACTAGAGAAAAACCGTAGATCTAGAGGTAGGTCATACTTTAGAGGGGGGAAAGAAAATAAATCTAGAGAAGATTAAATGAGGGGCTTTATTGCATTCAGCCTCAATAATTTAGAGTGAGAAAATTGAGAAGAGAGAGAATGAAGACAAGATAAGGAAGAGACTAGAAGAATATGAAAAGAATAGTGGAGTGGGGGATAATATAAAGATGTTGGTATATAAAATGTACTACAAGATTTAAGCCTTTAAGTGATTTGTTAGGTTATGACGGGTCTCTTAGATACTTGTATATTTTTTTTAATTGACACATGGTACACGTTAAAAGACCTCTTAGGTTTGATAACGGGTCTCTTATTTCTCTTGAATTATTTTACCCACCAATGTGGTGGACGGATTCCCTAGGATATACCTCTGATTGAATAATCCAATCATTTCATAGACATGGGTCCTAACTGACTGACCAGGCAAGAGTTTCTTAGCCATAATCTTATAGTGGATATTGTAAGTCTCAAACCTTACACTGTCATTCCAGGAGTAGTAAATCTGAGGGATCGAATTAACGACCTCTCTTACATTGTGGTCATTAATGCCTCCACTTCCTAATGCCCGAATGCCACCTCGACACATGGCACGAAGACATTTATGCAGATTGGTCAACTCATAGTGCCTGAACCTTCTTTTCAAACAAGTTGGAGTAGATTCTAAAATGAGATTCCTGATTTTCTCTGCATCCGAAACATCTTTCGCATGCCTTTCAGGAGTAAAACTAATGGTGTATCTTCTCACAATGGGTATGTATAAATGAGCCTCAACCCTTTGACTTATGAGAACATTTCTCAACTCGTTTTCCCATTCCCTGAAGTTTCTGAGATTTAGCTTTAATTTCAATTTGTTTGACAAAATAGTGTTGTCGTAAAGGTTATTCATGTACAAACAAAAACAAAATGAGGCAAAGTTCAATAATTATTTTTGATAAATTTAAAGTACCATAAACGATTTAAATTTGGTAACTTTAAAACACTTTATTCAATTAAATGATCCCAATTTGAATTAAGTGATTCTAAGACCCTTTATTTGTGCAATAATTGATCGGACTTTGGCCCGACCATCAACCATTACATTTCCAAGGTGAATAAACTCTTTATTAATTACAACTAGGGATGACAGTGGATCTGGACCCAACCCGAATCCGTGGATCTAGATCCATTTTTCACGGATCTGGGTCCTCAAATTTTGGACCCGACGGATCTGGGTCGGATCCGGGTCCTGCCTGAAAAACGGATCTGGGTCCGGGTCTAACTTCCAGACCCGGACCCGGATCTGTGGATCCGTTTTTAAAATTTAATTTTTTAAAAAAATAATAAAAATTCTAATACAAAACTCACAAGTCACACAACTTTCGGCCCATATCAATTCAGAAACAAAAATCAAAACTATTTACAAACCCTAACTTTCTCTCTCTAGTTTCCATTATCCACTACCACTACTCAGCCTACTCTCTAATCTCCACCGACCACCGGACCTCCCAGACATATCGCCGGCAAACAAAACGGCATCAAAGACCTCGTCCAGGTCTGTAAGTTGTACAGCCCGTACTCCCATCCCTTTTTAGTTTTTTTTTTTTTTTTTTTTATTTTTTTTTTTAATGAACAAATAAATTAAGGTAGTAGTTCATATTATCTTTAGATGTTTCTGTTCAAGTTTGCATGCACTTGATTTGATGGGTTTAGTTTTAGCAATTTCGTGGGTTTATTTCTTGGATTTGGTGGGTGCATTTGATTTGATGGGTTTTTTTTGGTGGGTTTGCTGCAAATTCGTGGGATTATTTTTACTTGTTATTTGTACATGTTTTTGCTGCCATCTTGTTTGTTTAATTGTATATTTGTATGTATTTATGCTTGCAATTTGTGTAATTTATGTAATTTTTGTGTATTTGTTTGATTTATTTGTAAGGTCCAATTGTGAGTTTAGTTTTTGCCAATTACTAATTCTTTTCTTTGTTTTGTTTTGTTTCATTATTTTAGGATGTTGATGATATTAGTAGTGATGAAGATTAGTTCTTTCGGAATATGGATATTGGATGCTCAAATCGGATACATCAATGTTATTTTTTTTTGTTTGGTCATTTGTAACATGGTACTTTTTTTTATGTTTGGATTTTTTTTTTCAAAGACAATATGTGTGTTACATTGTATTTTTAGTTGTATAACTCTAATTTATGCATTGAACTTGGTTGAAATGCGTTTTATTACATTTGTTTGAAAAAATTAGGCAAAACGTGCAAGACCCGTTTTGGACCCGTTTTGGGACCCGGATTCGGACCCGGATCCGTTGGATCTGTCGGATCTAGATCAAGGTCCTCATTTTATGGACTCGACGAATCCGGGGCGGATCTGGATCCAAGGTTGAAAAATGGATCTGGATCCGGGTCCATTCGGACCCGGTCCAGATCCGACCCATTGCCATCCCTAATTACAACTCTTGTAATTCTTGGTTTAATAATTATCATCACATATTTAATTATTACCCTTAGCTTCAAGGATCTAAACTCTTTAGGTAACCTTGTTGAGTATACCCAATTAAAATTGTAAAACTTGATTTGCCCTAACTCTCCCAAGATATAATATGACACCCAGCTTAGGCATGACCCATCATAAATATCATTGGTTTTTCGGGTTTTTAATTGGAAAAGCAACCTCAATATTACTACGACCTAGATTCATTATGTTTGTGATTTTAATATAGTTAACTCTAGTGCATCATCACAAGCATCAATAAAATCTAACATGCATAATCTACTAATGCATAAATAAAACATGACATAGTATGACCCCTAAGAAAACTAATAAAGTAGAAAATGCTCCCACTTGAATTTTCATTCTCATCCATCTTAACCCTTAGGGCCTCCACTCCATTGGCTTCTTGGGTCAAATGCACCCTGTAATATTATTCTATTCTATCTACTACTTAAATAAAACAAAATAAATTATAAAAATACTTAACGGTACGCAGACCCTATTTAGCTTACAAAAATATAAAACGATGCGCAGATCGTATTTAGAATCTATGGGCCATACTAGTCTATATATAGCAATAAATAATATCATATATTATAAAGTGACACATAATAAATCACTCATCATGCTTTCCTACAACATCAAATATCCACAATTAAGGAAACATGGCTCCAAATATCTCATATTTTAATTTATTACTACATTTAGATAATATCACATATTATTTCAAACCAACCATAAAATATCACATATTTTATTTTAGGTAAGAGATAGAATCAAATCATATTTTAATTATGGAAGATAAATCATATTTATTTTTCATGATTATTCTAACTAATTTAGGAGATTCTATCCTAATTGCCTAGCCAGTCACATAATTTTAAATCAATTATTATCCGAAATTAATTATGGGTTAATCTCATTAATAAATCAATCATTATCCAAATAGAATCTTTTGCTCCATATTTATTCAAACGTAACAAAATTAACAACTTTAACTTTGTTAATAATCTTTTCAAAATCAAAACTTATTTCTTTAATTTTAATTTTGAAATCTGATTTTTATTAAAATAAAATAAAATAATTTTTTTAAAAAATTTTGCACCAGCCACCGTGGTGTGGCTAGCCAAAGCCGGCCACGGTGGTCGTACACCGTGAGGTGTACGCTGCTTGCAGCAATGCACAGCAGCATCAGCAGTAGTGCTGCACAACCTTTGCACAGTGCTGTTGTTGCTACCTGTAGACACCTAAAAATGTCTCCCCAAAACCAAACCCGTTGATGAACACCTTTTGATTAGGGGATTTTTATCCACCAATCACCTTCTGACAAGTGGACCAACCCGGTTCCGCCACGTGTCCTTCACGAAGGACAACAGGAGCCTGCCACGTGTCAGTCACAGATACGTCCTCTACGGACCGCTATAGACACGCCACGTGTCCACCCATGCCAAATGGGAAAACCGGCCACCAAGGCCCAATCCAGTCTAGAGGCTCGATCAGCCCTAGGTTTACCTTAAACCTAGAGAGTTGCACGCTTCTCAAGGCTATAAATACTTAATTAATCCTCATTAATCACAGAATCGAATAATCAAGAGATCAAGCAGAGAAGAACAGAGTTATTAACAACCGGCTAATCTCGCTAACGACGCAGATTACCAACACTAAGCACTCTCACCTAGAGAGACCTCATTACTTTAATTTCTGTATTGATTACTCCTTAATCAGGTACTAACTTGACCGTTGGAGGCGGAGCTCTCAGGAGTCTCCGTTATTTTGCAGGTACAGGCGTCCGGTTCCAGTCTCGGAATTGTAACTCTCCCGCAGGACATCAGAAAACCCCGAAACATTTGGCGCCGTCTGTGGGGAGAGTACTTCAGAGATGGCATCCAAGTCTGTACCGACTCCAGAAGAGAGGCGTCCCCTAGACGACCCTCAAGTCCAGTCGGACCATGATACCGAAAGTGAATTTGAAGTTGAAACTCATACAGCTCCAGACGGGACCCTAAGGGCCCGACGTACCCGCCATACCGAAAGGAGGGAACGGGAGCATCTTAAAACAGGAAGCGAGCCAGCAGGCGCATCGCTTGCTCGGCAACAGCCGACTGATGGGTCTGCTCCCATCACAAGGAACGAACTCATGACCTTCATGAGGGACTTCAAGGGAGAGATTCAAGAGTTGATCAACAAAAAACCGCCTGCTTCAGTCAAGGAGAAGACGGCCAAGAAACCTTCCACTTCACTGAAGAGGAAGCCAGTTCAAGGGCGAGAGGCGACTCCCCATCCTAAATCCAAGAAGCGGGAGCCACCTGCTCTTGATTTTACAAAACTCCGCTATCCTACGGGAAATAGGAAACCGGTTCGTCATATTCAGGCGGACGGGTCAAAGCAAACGTTCACAGATGCTCGGCTCCTGCTAGAGCAGAAGAAGAGTGACCGATTATCAGAGTCGGCTTCTACTTCAAATTTTCAGGACAGTTTGCGAAATGCCTCGATGAGGCATACTCAGTCGTACCATGAGAGTCAGTCAGGCGGCACCTCCCGTCAGTCCGGCTTTCATAGTGCCCAGGCGGTACCAAACTTACCATTTGTGCCGCAACAACGGTATTTTATGCAGCCACCTCCATTTGGTGGACCTGCAGCAAAAAACGTCCAACCTATGGACTGGAAGCTACGGCTGCTTAGACTTGGTGAACAGCCGTCGGCCTTCTCCAAGGAAATTACTGAAGCCGCTCAGCCGGCCAAAGTAAAAAATGTTCTAGTAGGCGCCTATGACGGCACTACTAACCCAGAAGACCATCTGATGGCATTCACCAACCTGATGTACCTTCAAGGGTTGGATGATCCCACTTGGTGCAAGTGTTTCCCAGCGACTCTCAAGGGAATTGCACAGCAATGGTTCGGCAACCTGCCGACTGGTTGTGTAAACAACTTCAGGACGCTTGCTTACTTATTTGCCTCCAACTTCGCTATGAACATCCCTGCAAAGAAAACGACCCTTGATTTGGGAACAATTCAGCAGGGCGAGAAGGAGGGGCTTCGTTCTTACATCAGGCGGTTCAACCTGATGAGAATACAGATTCAAGGGTTACCGGATGAGGTAGCTTATACGGACTTTTTTAGAGGTCTCAAAGACGGGTCTACCTTTAAATTTGATTTAGTTCGAAAAAGGGTGGCGACTCTTCAAGAGGCCTTGATTGAAGCAGAAGCCTATATACAGGCGACTGATCTGTGTACGATAAAACAGTCGGACGGGAAGAGGTTCGACAAAAGAGAGGGACAACAGAAACAGTCGTCCCACAAAGATGAGAAAAGAAAAGAGGTCTGGGCGGCTGATTCCTCCAAACAACCGGCCCAGAAAAAGAAAAAAGAATTCAAACCATACTCCCCAAAGTATGTGTTTAACAAGGATAACCAGTTTATCTTAAAAGAAATAAAGGGACGGCTCTCAGTTGAGAAGCCGCTCCCCATGAAGGGTTCTGCGAGCAACCGGAACCAAGACAAAATCTGTGCTTACCATGATGACGTTGGTCATCACACCAATGACTGCATCAGTCTCATGCGGTACCTAGACCGCTTGGTTGATCAAGGTGATCTTGACACTTATGTCAAGAAATCTACGGGGAATACTTCCTCAAAAAAGCAGTCGGCCAAAAAGAATCAACAGGCCGACAGTTCCGATACGGATGATGCAGTCGTCTACACCATTGCAGGCGGCTTCTCAGGAGGCGGCCCCACTATTAGGGGCAACAAAGATAATATAAGGCGGTTAGATGTAAATTCCGTTCACCAAGAACAGCCGTCCAAATATACATTTCCTGAGATTGTCATCACTGAAGAGGATCTAGGAGGAATAAGGGGGCCGCATGACGACCCTCTCGTTATTGAATGTAAAGTGGCCAACCAGAGAGTTGGCCGAATCCTCATAGATACCGGGAGCTCTTCAGATCTCATCAGCAGCAAATGTCTGTCAAAACTGAAATATCAGACGGACTGCATACATCCGGCCTCCCACCCTTTAATAGGTTTTGGAGGAGGAGTCGTCCACCCACTGGGACGAGTAGATCTACCCATTCGCCTGGGCGAAAAAGGGGAAGGACGACACATGGTAGTCCGGTTCCTAGTGGTAGAGGAACTCTCGGCCTACAACATGATTCTGGGTCGACCAACCCTGAATAATTCCAAGGCTGTTATAATCCCGTCACTTATGCTGCTTAAGTTTGAAAGGGATAATGGAACAGTCGGCTCCCTAAGGGGAGATCAGAGGATGGCCCGAGAGTGCTATCTCTCGGATGTCAAGCCCACTGTTATGGCCACTGGGTCAAGTGGAGAAAAAACAGACCTTGACAATGTCAAGGAGAGTGCGCCTGTTCAAGAAACAGGCGACAGAAAAAGAAAGGCGTCCCAAACAGAGTCCGCAAGAAAAGCAAGAAAATAGCAATCATTGGCAGAGGAGCGGCCGGATGAGTTCCGCCCTCAGCCGGCTGGTGAGCATGCGGACCTGATATTAGACGACTCCCGTCCTGACCGAACAGTCAAAGTTGGGACGACTGCTCTGAGAAACCTTGGTGACGACTTTCACAACCTGTTGAAAGAGTACAAGGACATCTTTGCATTTGAAGTCCATGAAATGCCAGGCATTAGTCCTGATCTGGCAGTACACAAACTCGCTGTGGATCCGAAAAAGAAGCCGGTACGGCAAAAGAAGCGGAACCATGGTGAAGAA